TGACCATGCCTCTATCCTTGGTAAAAAAATGAGCCCGTTTGGTCGAGTTGTAATGAAGATATTCAACTTTTTCTTTGTGGAGTTACTTACTGGACACCCTATATACAACTATATCGCGCTTTTTTTCAGAAATGACGAAATTTTAAGGACATTTATTTTCTTAAACTTTTTAAAAATATCATATTCTGAATCAGCGTGAAAAACTAAGTTAGAAAATACTATTTGATTAGGTTTAAAGCTAAAAAAAAGTTTGAAAAATCTTGTCCGATATAGATATCTCGACATGCTCAAAAGTACACATCAGTGACCATTCTTGTGAACCTATCTAGTCTGTTGGAGTATGAGATAGAAGCAACTATCTTATCTCATTAGAATTGTTTGGACATGAGCTACAAAAGTACCTATTTAGTTTTTTTAAATTTTATTTTATTGTTCAGAAAATCCTTTCTCTTTTAATTTTTTGGTAAACGGCTAAGCCATTTTTAGATATATTTTTCATTTTTCACTATAGATTAACGATTTTATCTTTATATAGGTAAAAATTCAAGCAGAATTCGATAGACATAACTTAAAGACTACTAGAAGCTATTTAGACAAAATTCTAAAAGTTATTTTTTATCAAAAAAAAACAACATTGACTAGCTTTTTTGCGTATATTTCTTCGTAAGATTAATTGAATGTTCGGTTGAATTATTTTTATCATTTCAGTATAAGAAAGTGATGAAAACTAAGTCCCATAACAATTTTTATCTTCTTATGAGCACACGTTTTCTGTTCTGTTGATAGGAATTTTCTCTTTCTGTACTTGACTAATATATATTGTTCTTTCTGTTCAGTCTGTATGCATTCTTTCTCGCTACATATATTTAGCTGAATATTTTTTGTTCTGTTCTTTCCTCTCACTATGTGTTTTTTCTAATTGCTAAATAACTTTTTTTCGTCAGGTATCCTTCTCTATCTGGCGACTGTTCTCTAGTCTATAAATATTGTTGTTTGAACTGCTTTTCTTATTACATATTTTTGTTTGAAACAAACACGTTATTGTTTGCCAGTTGAACAAGCTATTTCAAAACATCATAAACAATTTCTTATTTTTAATTATTCATTATGCCAAAATTAAATAAACGTCGATCTGTAGGACGTGCTTATGCACGGAAGCAGTGGTATGACCAACGAGTCTCACCAGAAAATGAGACTGTATCGGAAGAAGAAGAAATTACACATGATAATGATGATGATATTGAATTTATTCGATTTGCTGATAAGATGAATTTTAATGATATTGGAGATTTGTTCGAATTTATTAAAGATAAAATTGGTTTAAAAATTGTTTCTGTATTATTATATATGGCTCTTCGTCATTTTGGTATAAGTTGGGTCAAATGTGATGATTTTTTTAAAAAGGATTGGTGCATTAACGATTAAAACAGGGTGTGGGTGTGGGTGTGGGTGTGGGTATGGCTCTACTTGTCAGTATTGCATTGGCTGAGACACATACACGCACACACCCACACCCTACGACCATCACAATTGTTTGAGTGAACGAACACAGGGTAAATGATGAATGAACATGAAAATCATTCATTGCTCCGCCCTGAATAGAAAGATAGGAGAAGAGAAAGAGAAATGAAGAAATGAACAAATTAATATTCATTGGCTATTATATGAACAATAACGGTCAGCTTTGGTTAATATACATATGTAATGTGTTGATTTGTATTGATCAATATATGCCTTTTTATTGTACGTCAACACTTTAGTTAAGACCTGTTTCTTTTTATTTATTCAATTTTCAGCATCGAAAAAACGAGAAACTGGCTGAAGAATTTCTACCGTCAGATTCTACTGCAAGCATTTCTTTATCATATACTTTTATCATTGATGAAACAGTAGGTTTTGTATATATGAAAATGATTTTTCTGCAAATGAAAAAAAAAGATTTTAGTTTTTATAAGATATAGCACATTGAGAAGAGTGCATTTTAATTTCGTCTAGATTCAATTGCTTAAGAGAAGGAAGGTCGATGAGGCGATCAAGAATTTTTCAACAGCGGCATAACGTGGGCAAATTTTAAATTTAAGCTGAACTGTCCCTATTCGATAAACCGTGTCGAGAAACCTATTCACCCGAAATTTTTCGACAAATCAAATGCTTTCTTGTCCAGATATGAGTTTTTTTCAAAAATAAGCTTTTTTCGATTTTCCCAAAACTCCAGCATCTCGTATTCCAATGTTTGCGTGACTTCTCCCATTGTATACGAACAACAAGTAAATTAATTATAAAATATTTTCATTTAATTTAGAACGAGAGAACCGTCAAGTCGCTCCAGCACCACAACATCTTCGATGAATATGTCCACAAAACACATGATGCGATAAAAATTTATTCAACTAATAATATGATTCACGATAGATTATTAAAAAGCTCAAGTCAATCAATGCTGAATACTTAAAACAATTTGATGAAATATAACTTTTTTTCTCTTTTGAAAAATGGATATTGATTCGTCTTCCTTTTGATAACTATGCATTTTTTTGTATTGCTAATCAAACGAGTCTATTGAAAAATAAACAAACAGTCATACTTCAGAGCTAAATTAATTTATCTGAAAGACTGCTATGGTTGATTATGTCAACTTTGAGCAAGGATAGGAAAGGTCAATTAATGAGCATATTGTTCTATATGTAGCTTTATCTGTTTACATCCAAAAAGATATTTTTATACTTCAAGCACAATTGAGGAATTGCCGAGCGATGATCCGTCGGTTTCTGTTCAGATCTACGACACTTGGGATCCGGATAGCAATGAACTACACGAGAAAGATGATTACGCAAGTCTTGGCCTCGCTGATTGTTTAATATTCAATTTGAGGCTTTTATCAGTATTACCTCCTTTATCATCAACGACAATAAAGATGTACATAGCTATTGGTCACATCATCGCTGTGCAAATTGGTCAAGAAGCAACGTATCGACTCGGACGTCTTTGTAGCCAATGGGCACAACTTGTTGTTTCTTTACTTGTCACCGCCGTCTCATTGTACACTATTCTTCTTAAAGTTTTTATCAATTATTAAAAATCACATATTAAGAAATTGTTCGAATTCTTGGGCAATAGTTAACGCTACTATTTTATATAAAAATGAACGTTGAAATTCTTTTTCTAAATCTCATTTTATTATTATCAGATATCAAACCGTGTACGTCGAATATATGTGATAACAAGAAGCAGCACATTTTGTTTCGAATTAGTTTTTCATCAATTTCTACTCTGTAAAAGAAAAAATGGTACATGCAGAACTTTTTAGGGTTCTAGATTTTCTACTATTTTTTGATATAGTTTTGGATAGCCCTAAGTAATATGGTTCCATTATAAAAAAGTTTTCAATATATCAATAACGATTAGGGTTGAGTTTAGCGACATATCCACCAGAGGACATGGGGGTGCAATGCCTGCCCCCTTCTCCCCGTAAAAATTTCCTGACTACGGCACTAATTGAGTTTGTTATAAACTCAAACTTATATAATAGTTTTGTTTTCGCTCTCTGTTTATTACTCTAAACATCATGATAATATATTTTTCTATACAAGAACAAAAAATGAATTTAATTTTTGCTAATAAATTGTTCCTCGTATTTGACATTTTTGTTCACGTGTACGCATCTTTCGACGAACATTTCGAATCCGTGCTGATAATCGAGATGTAATTAAACCCTATTACAAAAAAATAGTAAAAATCCAATTTATTATTATCATAAAATATGGTGTGTAACATTACATGAGGATTAATTGTATCTTCACATGCTAAACATGGATATTCTGTAATAAGTGCAATACCAATTTTTTTATATTCTACACCATGAGTTAATTGTGGATAGACATTCATATAAAAATCAGCTGCTTCTCGAATTAATTCATTCATAACTGGTTCAGGATTACCTTGAAAAATAAACAAATATATAATTCAATCTAATAAAAATATAAAAATAACATACCCATGACAAGTTCATGTTGAACTTTATCACTAAATGTTGGTAATAAAGGTCGGTCAGGAATTCGACTAAGACCAATTTCCTATGAAAAAAATTTTAATTGATTGTAACAGATGATCGAAATTGTTTTTAGAAAAAAATGTTTGTTCACTTTTGACCTCTTAGAAAGTACTTCCGATATAGTCAAAAGCTATGAATTTGTGCTGAGAAATTATGTTCGAAAGTAATAAAATAATCTTTGAAAAAGTCAAAAAATCAGTTTCGACGTAATAATTTTTGTTCTAATTTTCCTTTTTCCTAAATACTCATTTTTGAAAAATCGACAACAATTTTCTGCATGTTGAAAAAAGGAACTGATAGGAGATAAACATCTTGACTAAAAGCTTGTTATAATCATCTGTTAAATAATAAAAGTTTCTATTTTTACTTCATTGTTATTTATCGGTATTATTGATTGAGATTGTTGTCGTGATGATGATGATGTATAATGATTGAGTTCATCAAAAGTTTCATCATTGGTTGAAATACGCGTACGTTGATGAACTAATGGATTTCGATTAATAATATTTGATGAAGGACCTTTACTAATTGTTGTCTTTTTTGCTACACGTCGACGAGGAAGTGGAAGATCAGATATCGGATCCTAAACAAGAGAAAAATAATCCGAAAAAAAAAACGAGAAGTTGTTTTTGTTGAATCAACATACTGATGGATAATCGGTACGTGCTAATTTGAAAACTTGTTCATTATCATCCTGAAAAGTTAAAACAAGTAAAAACATTTTTATCTTTACAATTAAATTAAAAATTATTCTTACAAGTGAAGGACTTCGTTCACGGCGAAAGTTCAATCGTTGAGAAGGAACATTAGACAACTATAAATAAAATAAAATGATGAAATGAATAAACAAATGAAATTGTTCTACTTCAAATGGTCCTTGAGAGCCATCATTAGAAGCAAGAAAATCATGCAGAAAAATCGTTGATGAAGAAGACATTAAGATAGGTTTTAAGAGCAACGACAAAAAAAAAGCTATCAGCAAAAGAAGAATCTTAGTGTCATTCCAATTGGCTGAGCACTCAAACCAATTTTAAAAGGTGTTAGATGTCCGTCCGTGTCACGTGATTAGATTTTAAAGATGTCTCTGTAATTAATTTGAATAATCCTTTCATACAACTTGCAATACGAATTTAATTCCTAGATACAATAACTAAACTATGACGTAGAAGTCTTAGCACAAAATATTTACTAATTTTTCGGCCACTGATTAGAGTTACTTAGAATCAGATATTTTCACTGTTGCTGAATAAGTGATAAGTGGATTTTTTGTTTCTATATTTGTACTCACTCACGTGTATGAGGTGGGTGTGGATGCTATTTCATCCACACCTATATTCAAAAAGAAGATATACTCCAAGTTTTTGACTTCGTCAGAAATACTTTCTAACGAGTTAAAAATGAATAAAAATTTTGTCTAAAAAGTTTCTGCTCACCGATTATCATATCATTATTTCAAAATGTCAAACAGGTCACATCTATGAGATTCCACTTATTGTAATATATATAGTATACTTTGTATGAACACAATTTTGGACTTTTTTAAAAAATTTATTGATAGTTGTTTAATCTTATTGCAAAAGTAAAGTCTGAAATTATAAACATATTTTTTTCATATTGTCATTCTTGAATATTTGAAATTTTTCTTGAAAAAAAAAATCACATGTTGTAAAATATTTCCATGATACTTTTTTTTGAATAAATGAAATCTTTTGAAAATGATCATTAAGTACAAATCTGATTTTCATTCTTTGTTACCCTATCAATTAACATGAATCTTGAATGTTTATTGATTTCTTTCAATCATTTTCGAGGTAAGAGAGAGAAAACATCAATGATAGACTTTCTTATGAAAAACATATTTTATTCTCCAGTTTTCTTTCAGGGTATTTTATGTTATTAAAACTTAATGTACTTCATTTGAAGTTTGCCTTGTAGCAGCTCTTTATCCAATTAAAAGAGATAAATAGTAATAGGAAATAAATCAACACAAATTCATATTGCGTTTCTTGCAAATATAGAAAATGGTACATTAATTAGAAAACCATCATAGGGCTATCCATCATCATGGATTATCATTTCTTGTAAAATGATAATACTTTTTGCTGTTGTCATATCTATATCATTTTTTTCTTTGTAACTACTATAACCGAGAATTCTTTGTTGTAATCCTTATCAATAGCTTGAGAAGATTTATGTTTAAAATCATAATTTTCAATATATAAATAAAAGAGATGTTCTGTTTCTTCTTTTTGATGTACCTAAAAGTGGCGAGAGTTTAAAATAAGACAGAAAAAAGAGAGAGAGACAAAGGAGCAAAATTTTTCGAAAAAAAAAAAGAAAACCATAAGTAAGAAGAATTACAGACAATAATAAC